TATGCAGCTTCTTCAAACTTTCTCTCAAACCATTGTTTCTCCCTGTGAATGATCCCAGCTTGGGACCACTTGATTGGTCCAAGCTTGCTGTGCTATTTCCGATTTGCTGATTTTTCTCGTGCTCGGCAATGCGCACTCTCAATGGCTTCTTAGTTTCACCGATGTAAGATTCGCCGCGCTCACAGATCTTGTGGTCGGCAATGCGGACTCTCAATGCCTTCTTAGTTTTACCGATATAGGATTTGCCGCATTGCTTCAGAGATTTCAAATCATATCATATTAGACAATGGATGTCCGAACTAGTAAAATTCACCATGAAACATTGTCAAACCCTTTCAAACAGAATATGTATGTATTTATAAAATGTTTGTATTATTTGTACACCTATTAGTCTACAGTCTACAGGTTTGTTTTGATAAAACTCGTATTCAAGCCACTATTATTGGTTTAAATATGTTTGGAAAGAAAACGTCATATATTGCTTCTTTCATCAATTCATTCATTACCGGATGCGGTGTATTTCGAATCAAATAATATATTATGCAGCATATATAGGATCTTTCATCAATCGTTCCAAATTCGACAATTTTGTTTGTTCACGTACCCATTCATCTTGAAATGGACCTCATCGCTGAAGATGATTTTTCGATGAAAATTAAGATCAGTGTCCTGCTACAAGGCATATTCAGCGATCACACATCGTTGTCTATGGTCGTTTACCATCAGTTCCTATACGAGTTGAATTTTGTACGAGGGCCGGTCCAAGTCACGACGCAAAATTCGCCAGGTTGTGGTCTGCGAAAGGCCCAGTTCTAGTGAGCGACACGACATCGACTGTCTAGGATTCTCCTGCACACTGTCACAGACAATGGCGATGTTTTCGGCAGATCTTGCATTTCGTCGACGTACGAGTGTTGGTCGATCGATTACTGAACCAATGGACTCAAACTTATCCACCACATTGCGAATAGTCCACTCGGTAGGGCGATTGTGACAACCGGTACGTTACCCGAACAGAACACCCATTTTTATAAAAAAAATTTATTATTTGTACGTATTGTTGAATGCTATATCCATCCTTGGCGATTTGGCAAAACAGACTGAATAAATGACAGCTAATTTGACAGATGTAGCTTCAACAAGATGGCCGTTATCAATTGTCAAAGTTCGGAAGTCCCCGTTGGAAGACCCTATTGAAATTTCAAATAATGGCCACATGTAATGTGGTGAGTGGAAAGCTATTTGAACGGATACGACCATAATCCCCATCAAATAGATAAATTTTAAGTACGTTGTAATTGTGCTTTACATTATACAATTTACATTGATATATTGGAAGTCATCACAAAATGAAAACATAAAAGATTAACTTCAAATTATAAGAGGTCGATGGATCCATTTATACAAAAAAAGGCTTCGAATGGTCTGCAATGTTCCTGAACATTCCACAGCATACTAGAATGTCGGCAATGTTTCGACATGTTTTCGAACGTTTCATAGCTCCAAACCTTTGACAAGATTCTAGAATGTTTCAGTTCGTTACGGAATGTTGTGAATTGCTTGTATTTCTCCTAAACTTCAAAAGTCACGACGCAAAATTCGCCAAGTTGTGGTCTGCGAAAGACCGAGTTCTTGTGAGCGACACGAAATCGACTGTCTAGGATTCTCCTGCACACTGTCACAGAGTGTGGCGATGTTTTCGGCAGATCTTGCATTTCGTCGACGTACGAGTGTTGGTCGATCGTTTACTGAACCAATGGATTCAAACTTATCCACCACATTGCGAATAGTCCTCTTGGTAGGGCGATTGTGACAACCGGTACGTTACCCGAACAGAACACCCATTTTTATAAAAACAATTTTATTATTTGTACGTATTGTTGAATGATATATCCATCCAAGGCGATTTGGCAAAACATACTGAATAAATGACAGCTAATTTGACAGATGTAGCTTCAACAAGATGGCCGTTATCAATTGTCAAAGTTCGGAAGTCCCCGTTGGAAGACCCTATATGATATTTTGGAAGTATTAGGTTATGTAAGTCACCAAAAATGTATTCACAGAAGGGAACATTTCTTGAATCATATTTCATACGAATAACACCCTTAAACTGTCTGTCAATCAGAGAAGCTGCAAATCTCCATGAATATTGTTACGCCTATGACGATCAAGCGATCGAACAGCCACTGAAGAGTAGGACAATGTTTCGTGTTTAATGTCGCGAACGTGAAGGAGAATCTCTTGAAATACCGTCGAATAACCGAAGAAATTCGTGTTACAACGAGAGTGTTCCGAATAGGGTTTATATTACGCACTTCTCGTCTCTCATGAATCCATCAGTTACATAGATCGAGCAATAATAACAAGTTCGGAATAACATTTAGTTGAGTCTTCAATCGTATCTTAGTGATGTATTCGTAAAACAATTTTCTATAGTTAGTATGAAGGTATTCCAACTGTTTAAACAAAATTTCAGGTTTGTGATGCACTGTTTGGAACCTTTAGTGTAGTAATGAATATTACTGGAGTTTTTTCCCAACACCAAAACCGTTATTTTAACACCTCGACACGTGTTTCTATCACCAAGTGATCATCCCTGCAAAATATGGACAGACAAAAAAATCTATCGAAATAAGATATAAGGAACACTTAGCACACTTAAAATATGGAACACCTGAATAATCAGCAGTCGGCCATCATATTTTGCAACAAAACCATTCCATTAGTTAGACAAGTTAGCAACAACAGGCATCTAGATGTCTGTTGTTGCTAAGTGTAGAAATAAGTAAACATAATAATGTCATAAATAACGATGGTGGACCTATACCTAATAGTATACTATAGTATACTATAGCTTGTTGAAATAATATTTCATTTACGATTTACCTACTATTACATAAGGACACATTGTAAGTTCAATTTAAGACTAGTAGATAAGGAAATATTGTGAAATTAATTTTATATAGCTAATAATATTTTATTTATTAGAATCACCTAACTAATTCATAAGGACACATTGTGAAATTCATTTAAGACCAGTAAGATAGTGAGACACGCAGGTTCCTATAGTATAAATTAGGATAGCTTTGTAATTATGATTATAATCTGTTCAGAAATGAGAGAGACTACAGCAGTATATCTATTTATATATTTTAGTGCCATAAGCATTCAAATTATTTACTCTCAACGAATTGAATAAATGAATTTTCACGACAAAAATACAATATTTATTCGAACAAATAAAATAACAAATCTACTATGACAAATGTTAAAATATGTCCAGTAGTAACCAAGACATTCTTCAACAAATAGGTATTTAGTTGAAGGGGATTGAAAAACATTTTTTTTTGAAGGCGGTATAAATATATATTCCTTTGAATACTGTCAACAGACACATCGCACCTATCAATAAGACCGACTTGGCTTTTTAGAGCCAAGCGCGTTGAATGAACAGCTATACAACATGGAAGCTAGTTGTTCGGGAATCGTGAAGCGTCCGAAATTGTCACCATTAAATATAGATGAAAAAACAATTGTTATGAANGATTGGTGCTAAAGAGGTAATAATTCAATATTCTGATTATTTTATAGATCTGTAGAAGGTAACAATTCTAAATAATAAAAAACTATTTCAAATATAAATTGTCCTTCCCAAAATAAAATATTTGAACAAAATTAGTTTTCACCATATTTCAATTATCTTCTCATCATACAGAATATATCAATGGATATTTTATATTAATACCCCCAGTCCGACGCCTATTAATATCACCTTAAACGTAATATCAGAAAAAACATCGAGCGGTTCTTTTGGCGGTATTTTCGCATTCTTTGTCAGTGTTTTCGCGTTCTTTGTCACATTTCCCTATTTTAATGGATCGTTAGCGGCGTCCTCAAGAGATATAGAGGGTAGACATATCTCAATGATTTTGTAGATGAATTGCAGTGCTATTTGCTCAAGACGACTATGTTGCTTCCTTTGATGTAGCGGCATGTTTGCATTCTTGAAATGCTTTTACTCTCAGACAATACTGAACAAACTATAGTTTGATTTTTCCCTTGAAGATGATCACTTGGTGATCGAAACACGTGTTGAGGTGTTAAAAATGACGGTTTGGTGTTGAAAAAACTCCAGTAATATTCAAAATTTCAGATATTTTTGGTACACTATTGAATATCACTATTCTTGTTCACAAAAGTATTCACTGCTGAATGAAGTGAATAAATTTCTACCTGTCATTCAGAGTAAAAACTGTCTGATCTTTTTTTTCTGTAAATATAAAGAATAACGGATCGTAGTTCATGTTTGTAAAAAATTCTAGCAAAGATCTCAGTATGTCGTCTACCCACACTTTACTTTTTGTATTACCGTAATGTATATATCCTCCCAAAATTGGAAAGTTTATTTTAAATTTCACAAAACAAAGCATTGTGAGTAATTTCAAGATGTGATAGTTGTTCAAAAATGTCTGTGATATTGGAGAGATTTAACTGGATGAATATTAATGATTTCTGATACATCATACAATAATTTTTATATACAAAATTCACTTGATATATCGGCACTTTATTTCAAAAACTTAAAAAAACTATGATACTTATGATACGGGAGGATATTTTAGTTCAGAATAACTCCACCAAATTTCATTTCATTCAAGGGAATAATAAAATATAAATCACCTTATGAAGTCAGATGGAAAGAAATAAGCGCTGGCCTGAATAAATGCGGCTGAATTCATTATGAAAAAAAAAGGAGAATGAAGTTTTACAACTATATTTATTTATCCTTTCAGTAGTTTTCATTCATGTTTCTGCAAGTGAATCGATTTCAGTATCATTTATTTTACGAATATTGTTTTATCTATAATATGTGATCTCTTCATTGTATAGAACATACAATGTATGGAACTTATAATATCAATTTTACCCTGTTCACGGTAAAAAATAAACTCCCTGTCATACCGCCCCCACAAATCCGTCATGTATATTTTTCTTACCTTTATCCTTTTCACCGTCTTGTTACTATTATTTTGTATTTGAACCGTTACGTTGATGTCTTCCCCATGTGAATAGATTGCTTTGTCCAGCAAAGCTGTCAAACGAACTTGTCCGTCGCTTAACAAGTAGAATTTTTCTGCGAAAGCTTTAGGGGCAGGAACGCCGGCTAGGTAGGCCGCTAGGCTTGGTCGTTGACTTCCACAAAGGTTGCGGTAATACTGGCCGATCCTTGTCTGAATAAAACAAAAGGAAAAATAATAAAGCCGAATTTCTTATAGGGATACTTTGTGAGCAAATATTCATAAAATGTATTGAGGATGTTTCAAAAGCACAATAATTAATTAACTGCTACAATAGCAGGCTGCTAGCAATTTGAATATTTTTTCAGAACTTTGCCGTTTCTCCCCACGGATTTATTCATTCAGTGGAAATACTTTTGACAAATTTTCTCTGACGCAACTTTTGAAACTACTGAATCACATAAAAGAAATAGAATCGATTTAACAAGGAACAAATGACTTCCGTTTTGATGTTTTTTTATGTTATACGGGAGCCGTAAAAAATCATTGATTATAGTATGGCATTCAGCCATACTATACAGCCATTTTATCAAACAGTGTGCATTGTATGACGGTTCAGTTTACACCTGAAGAATTTAGGAGGAATTTAAATCACCACGTATGACTTCGTTATTACGTTCAACCTAAGTTAATTCAATAATTTTTATAATGTAAGTACTACTTTGTCAAGATAACTAACTGTGGCTCATATCCTTTTTCTTTGCAGCTGTTTCTTGTTTTACTGAAGATGGGTGGCTCACTCCACTCGAAACATGTCTAATTGCCATCAGGTTCTGACTTACAAATATATATGTATAAATTTCGTCTATAAATGTACTTTCAAAATCATACAAATCGTGATTAATAGAGAGCAAAATATTATCCTGAGAATATCTTGACGGAAATTGTTGGTTGAAGTCGAGCTGAAATGGAACATGGGAAGGGAACGTTTCTGACTGGTAGAAATTAACATCGAGGTACTTTCTTGCTCGAAACACATTCGCTTTACAGACAGAAGTGTTTGTAATTCTTCTTGTGCAAGGACATTAATTTGAGACCTGAACGAAATGAACAGATCAATATTCTTGCAGGCGGCAAAATACACAGGACATAGATGAACTTAAGAGTAATTTTGAAACCAGTCTGGAAATACTGTGGCGAAACGAAAAAGTGATTCTATATTTAGTATTAGGATATTCGGGGATCACAGTAAGTAAAAAAGCAAATGAGGATTAGTAGGAAAGGGGAAATCTTCTTGAAGGGGCAATGAAAGGACCGCGTGAAAAAAAAACCAAAGCACTGCTTGAACAGAATACGTAATTCCATAGACACTGTATACTTAGAGGATAACTGAATAGTATAACCGTATGGTGGGAGAAGCAGGTTGATGAAAACATGTTTCAGTTTTTTGCCTCATGATTCTCAAGATAACCTTTGCAAAAATGCAAAATTCAATGAATATATTTTTTGATAAGGATAGACCTTGATGTCAACAATTAAATTTTAGACTTTCCTGCGTTACCCTTCAAAACAAAGAATTGTTGTGTTGCTCAAAATTACTTCTGTCACAAATTCTGTAGACTAATGGTGCTGTATGCTCTTTTATCTTCCATTGCAATGTTACATAGCCTCTGTTCATATATTTAGTATGTTCTTCAATAAATATAATGTTCATACAGTTTCTCAGTATTTAAATCATTACTCCATTTTTAATTCTTGCCTTTTTATGGTATAATGAAATCATAATTTCTTGGTAAAGAAAAGTTTCGGCTTTCTTCCTCTCCATCTCTATACAAAAAATGTGGGAATCTTTCAAAGAAAGGAAGGAAATGTTTTACATCGGATGTTCACCAGTGAGGATGACAGTGATTCATGTAAGTGAAATTATACCTCTTTCATTTCCTATATTGTGTAGGAATCCTGTGAATAATAACTGGTTCAAATCCATAACGAATGTTTGAAATACAAACTGAATAGAGAGAAGTGTTTTTGTATAATTCAGTACTTGTGATATACTGTTTGGAACCTTTGGTGTAGTATCTTCCTCTTTGATGTAGTATCTTCCTCTTTGAAGATGATCACTTGGTGATCGAGGTGTTGAGGTGTCGAGGTGTTGAAAATAACGATTTGGTTTAGGAAAGAAACTCCAGTAATATTTATAATTCAGTGTTCATTACGTATTTGTTACGAAAGTATTTTTCTTTCGTGTAATTTAATGTTTAATAGCTGTTTTCCAGTTTATGTCTGAAAGTTACTTCTTTGCTTGATGTATACATATTTGTATAGAGTTAACTTTGTAAAATTGATTGCTTCCTTCCTATGTTTGGAAGATTACCACATTTTTTCGTGTAAAGATGGAGAAAAAGAAAGCCCAAACCTTTCTCACCCAAAAATTAGTGTCTCCTAAAAATTTACCCCTTTCAATTTGAAAAAAATCTTGTTTTTTATATAAATACGGTGTCTGTAACATCGAGATTCCCTCAAAAGTTTGAGGTGAATGAGAGAAGTTGAATGAAAAACTGTTCAATATGAAAGTTTTATATATCAACGCATTGTAATGTTTTAAAATATTTTGCAATTTACAGGATACTCAGTGGAAATATGGCTCATCAAAGTTAGCTTTCATGGAATAAGATATATTACTACCAATGAATATGAAGTTAAAAAAGTAATTATCAATCTGAATAAAGGTAAATCACCAGGTCTTGATAACATCAGGTCTGAAACTCTGATAGAATTCGTCAATTATCTAGCAAAACCAATTACTTATATTATTTATTTGAGAAAATATTAAAAGTTGGAATAGACAAATATTTGAAAAAATATAAAATACTCTCTGACAATCAATATGATTCGATGGATAATGGTAAACCATGGCTTTGTGTCTTTGTTGATCTGTCCAAAACTTCTGATACGGTTTCACATAAGAAATTGATAAAGGTAATGGAAAACATCAGTTTCGAAAGGACATCGCTGAAATTATTTGAAAACTATCTCTCTGATAGGAAAAAGTGCATCAAAATAAATGAAACACTCAGTTCTTACTGTACCATAGAATACGGAATCCCCCAAGGAACGGTATTGGGGCACCTCCTATTCAAATATCTACTTGAATGATTTGTTTAGGGTCAATTCAGAAGGTACCATTATATAGCCATACTATATCGCGATGATACTTGGAAAGAATTGAACGACAAGGCTGAGGGATATTTCATAAAAATTGTCAGTTGGTTCAAGAGCAGGTTGCTGACAATCAATACAAAAAAAAACTCACTTTGTACCTGTCACTTATTTCAGCAACAACTTGCCAAATTATAACTTCGTTGGAAATCCATAATGACAATGACATAATGACTATAAATATGAAAGAACATATAAAATATCTTGGCATAATAATAGATAAAAATGTAAGATGGAATAAGCACGCAGAATATGTTGCGAATAAAATGAGGATTCTACTGAACAAATTAAAGTTTTTCAAAAAGATTGACATTGCACAGCTACGAACATTATATTTCAGTCTAGTACAGTCCCATATCAACTATGGAATAATTGGGTGGGGAGGTATTACTGATAATACTCTCAGGGTTATCAATGTCTCTCAAAAATTTCTCATTAATATTATTTTTAATAGAGATTATACCTATCCATCTGAAACACTTTTCACAGAATCTAAATTTTTTACATGTAGACATCTATATTTTCTAAGTCTTGCGATGTATCATAGAAGATATGAAACAAAATTATTGTCTGTGGATCACTTACACAATACCAGATTTAAACAAAAAACCTCAAGGATTCTTAAAGTGCTTACTTTAGGAATCCTTGAGGTTTTTTGTGCTTACATGTGCTTACATCTCGAAGTCAAAGATTTTTCACATACTAGTGCCCCATTGTCTATGCAGAGGTTCCATTTGAAATAAGGTCTATTACAAGTGTAAAGTGTAAAAAAGTTGTTGATTTTTTCAACATCCGAGAGGTGTTCAGGAATTGCCTTTTGACCTTGTTTCTTATAAACATTTAGCTCAGCTAGTTCCTTCCACAATTGTTTACTTTTCGATAAGCAATAGTTGAGATATGCCTTCTTCTCGAGATTTACCGTTCGATTTGTGAGATTCCTCAACTCTTTGTAATATACCCAGTGATGAGTTGGAAATTAGTATTATTTAAGTCAGAACGAAATGATTCTGGATTGAATTTTCTGAAGTCTCTAAAAGTGTAAATGAAGATATTTTCTTTTATATTTGCGATATCTGACCTGCATGATACAAGAAAGTGATCCGAAAACGAGCTACAATCGACCGTTGTAGAAAAGCGTGTTAGATATACTATCTGTTTCAAACCGAAAGATTCAATGATCTCACTCAGAGAAATCAATATTTAAATCTCCAACACAGATCACATTTTCAAATTTCGGACATATTGAGGATAAACTATCTTCAAAAGCCGTTATGAAACTTTGAAGAGGAACATTAAGGGGGGTACATAGAGGCTAAGGCATATTTTACTTTATGAATAGTGAAGGTTATCCACACCTGTTCAAGTGCATCTGAAGAGCTATAATCAATGCTGCTAGCTTTGAGTGAGTTTTTTATATATATAGCAACACCACCCCCTCTACCTACTAATCTATCCTTACGAAAAAGTTGATAGCCTTCCAAATGGACATAATGATTTGATATATTTTCATTTAGCCAAGTTTCCGAGACGGTGATGATGTCGTAAATATTATGAACTTTATCTTTGAAGTCTAGGAATCCATTTTGTATGGATCTAGTATTTATGTGACATACTTTTAAATTACGCATTGCCCGAACAGGATAAATAGCTGACGAAGAAGGTAAGATATAGGAAAAAAAGATAGAAATAAGAACAAGCGGATGATGAACTTACAAATATATATGTATAATGAAGGTTAATGAATCCAAAAAAAAAGAAAATTACGGTCCTTTCGCATTTCGGGGTGGATTTTCCCTCAACGGTTTCTTAGAAGTTGTTTCAGCTGGCGGTGCGTTTGANCATGTTGTGTGAGTGCACAAGAATTTCGTTTTAAATTTTTACAATTACTTTTATGAAGAGCTATGCGGGTTTTTAAATTGTTTTTTGTTTGACCTATATATATCTTATCACAATTGTTGCAGGGAATTTCGTAAACTACATGTGACTTTTCAAATAACGGATCTTCATCTTTCAATTTTGAATGTAGTTTAGTTAAGGGTTTAACTTTCCTTTGTGAAATTTTTATATTCTGTTCTTGTTTAAATACGTTTATGATTTTGCTGGACAATTCAGGGACATAAGGAATGGAAAAGTATTTGAAATTTGGATTTTCAGCTTTATTGTTCTCTCTGATGTTGATGATATTAGATGGAGTTTTATATAACAATTTATTTAAAAATTTTGGAGGATAAGAATTAGTTAATAAAATATTGAATAATTGTTTTAAATTTTTTTCTACCAATGTAGGATGAGAAATTTTTTCTATTCGATTTTTTAAACCTAGAACTGAATTAATTTTCATTTTTTGTGGATCCAAAATACTATCAGTCAGGTAGAAAATTACGGTCGTTTCGGTGTATTCGGAGTAAAATCCGAAAACAATAAGATCATTTCTTTGAAGTTTGTTATCCAATTGAATGATTTCCTCTCTCAGTTTAGCGTTTTCTACTTCAAAGGATGTTATTGTATTGTTAGCTCCTATCAGATCAGCTTTTATTTCAGATAATGTTTCCTGTGTTTTATCTGATTTGGTATTTAGGTTAATCAGCAGCTTGTGAATATCCGTCAAAGTTACTTCTGATGGCATTTTGTTTATTCACACAGAATTAGAAAAATGTCCAGGAAGACGGCTATGCTCCCGAACTAATAGGAAAGAATGGAATGCTTTTTCGGCTTCGAGAGATAACGGCCGTTTTTGTAGTACGTTTTTGTGTCGTTTTATATTGGCAATTGATCAACTGACACACCAAATTACTGCTGGATAGCGTATATCTTACTACTTTATTGTTGTAAGAATGACATGAAATCACCGCCTATAAGTGGAAATCTGTGCAAAAACGCAATATTCTAATGTTAAGTTTTTCCAAATAACTGGCACTATTCTCAACAGCTCACTTAAACGCGTTCAATATTAACGAACTAGTTCAGTTCCCTCGGGACCTCGATGTAGCACACAGTGTATTGTTTCACGAACAACCGCTTGGATATTTTGGTTCAATCAATCGGTTAATTACACTCACCTCATTATCCAAGTCTTCATCCTCCCTTCCAGAAATACCATCGTCGCCCACTTTCCCCTGTGGTTCCTCGAGATCAACCCCTTGATCCCCCTCACCATCCTCCGAGCCAGACCCCACGCCGTTAGAGTGTGGCGTGAATGATACTTGAACGCCGCATCTGTTCTCGTCTACCGGAGAACAGCTTTGACGACGGTTTCCACCAAGCTGTCCTTGAAAATTTGGTGATGCACGGACAGGTAAGGAGAAAGAGCCTGAAAGTGAAAGCGAAAACTGTCAATACGTTTCAGGGGTGCAATTCTGTTAGCATCGCTTGAACTGTTGTTTCGGAGACAAAGGACAAAATATTGATTGTTCAAATTTGAAAGTGGGATTAACGACGATGCCAGTGGCGTGTCGACCTATCTTAGGCTTGGGGACGTGTGTTAAATGTTTTCCACTAAATTTGGTAAGTACCATCAATACAAAAATGGATGTTCATATTGGCGAAGTTAATCTCAGAATAACTAAAAAATAGAACTCGTTCCATTAATGAAGTATACTTGCACCACAGAATACACTCCTGAGATAATTCATTCAAATCGGAGGAAGAAAAGCCCTGGGAAGTTTACTGTGATCATGAGGATAGGAATTTATCACAACCTTAATATAGAACAATCAACTGAAATCTCTTCAGTGTGCCATTGTGGCTATACCGCAAAGGAAATTTCAGAAGATGGTTTTCAGGTACGATTCCAGGCACGGTACGGCCTGGATGGCTTCAGGCTCACTCAAAGGATTAAGAGAGCGCCTCCTAGCTGGTGAGTGATGTAATCCTGTATCTGTATTCTTTGGAGGATATCTTACTTAAATGTTTCACACTAGATCTACTTCAAGTCATTAAACTCAGATATTCATAAGCATCTCACACGCAACATAAATAATATTGATACAAATAGCTCATTCAAGACCAGCAATAAAGTCCCTGTTATCTAACGGATTCAACAAACATGTTTCATTAATTTAGTCCAAATATTATTTCAATCAAGTATCAAGTCATAAACCATATTCATAATTATACTTATGGGTTACAAGACTCCATTTTCATTTGCAATCTACTGATTACTTTTCAACTTTTTTCATTTATGATGTTTTTGTGATTGAATATAAAATATCTAAGTGGATATCATATTATATAGTTCATTTTTTGTAATGTTTTCAAATATCCACTGCATTCGTTCCTAGTTTCGTACGCTCTATCTTGCAATTTTGTTATCTTTTTCATGAATAAAATTGTGTGTTTGGGAAATGTCAATTATTCTGTTTCTAATTTTTTTCAAAATATTCTTGAAATATGAAAGATAGAATAGAAATCTTTTGAATACACTGACACGTTACTTGGCGAAAAACAATAACAATACGATTGCAAATTTTCACATTATAGACTTTATTGTCAGTACGCGTTTCACTACTCTCTCCTGTCAACGAGAGAAACTGCTGGAACCCCGAAACACAGTAAGGTGTCCATTGGGATCTTCTGACCACAAACTTATTTCAGATCATCTAAGCCGCGCAAAGTTTAGCATTACAGATCAGCTGAATGGGAGGATCCTCAAGACCATTTACCCTGGCTAGATGTTTTTTTCAGCTTTAAAGATCTATCAACTTGTGCTTCTGAAGTCACGGATTCAAAGTCGTTAAAAAGCTTTGGATTGCTTTTAATAAACATTATGCTGTCAAGAATATACTGACTGTATAGGGCCAGTACTTTCTTTTCTATGAATAAAGGTTTACAGCTATCAGTTTGTTTGGATTTATAAATAATTCTAAGGCAACGTTTTTGAAGTGAAAAAAATTTTTTAACGTTCACAGATGCACCCCAAAAAATTAAGCCGTATTTAAGTCTTGAGTGGACTTGTGCATAATAGACAGACATTGACGCTTGAACATTTATTGTTTTAGTGATGACTCTTAGGGCATAGCAATGCCTTACAACATTTTCTGACAAAGTATCCAGATGAGATTTCCAATCCAGTCTAAAATCTAGCTCAATTCCCAGGAATTTTGAACTTTTACTAGTTGTTATTGTTGATTTACCATCCGAAAAAGTATAATCATTTTCAGATCGCCACATAAGAGTACGGACTGAAAGTTATGTGTTGCAATGGATAAAACCTCAGAGAGACGAGTAAAGAATGTGTTCCTACTTTTCTCATCATTGATGTGAGGCCGATAAATGTTAATTATGCAATATTTATTATGAAAAGCAACTGTTGAGCATTCAATTACCATTCCAAGAGATGAATCATTGATCGCCATGAGTGGTCTACTTAGAGATATAATTTCGTTCTTGCAGAAAATCGCAACATTGGATATTTATACTAAAACACTGAAAACATCATGACTGTTTGAAGCAGGATTATTTGGCACTGTCACTGCACTTTCCGAGTTGATACGAATTGAGTCTGCAAGTTTTTTGGAAAAATGAAACGTGATACCGCACACTCTTCAGGCCATATTTCCGGGTTATAGATTTCCTTTACAAGTGACAAGGGAAAAGAAATTTTGAAAGATGCTGTTGATGGGTCTTTTTTTCCAATTTTTCACAATGGAAATCAATGTGAGGGGCAGTTACCTTTAGGAAGTCTCTTAATGATTCAGCAGTTTCTTCAGAGGATAATCTGTACACATGGAGAAAACCTAGTCGAGGTACTGTTTTGATATTGCCTGATTTGTTTTTACTGATGATAACGTTTTGTTTATGTTTTCTGTAGTGGGTCGTTGAGCTTCTCGACGTATGGGAGGACTGGAGAGGCTTTCTTTCTGAATGTGTATTATTTTTTATGGGATGTATAGGTTTCTTCAAAGCATCAGAAAATGTTTCACCAACAGATGGAGTCTGAAGAGGAACTCTGCAATAGAATGCTGTCACCATTTATTGCTGTTGAATGTCAGATGTCGGTCTGGTGCCGGTTTGATGAGTTTGATTAATTATCAAATTATTAATTGTTTCTAGGTCATGGATTCGTTTTTCCAAATGTAGATTCAGGTTCGTTAGTAACTTTAACTCACGGTTTTTGGCTTTATTTTGAAAAATGCAGTCTTGTCGATTACACTCTATATTTGGGATTAACTTCGTACATGAAACGTGAAACACATCTTCGTCTATATTTCTACCTTTACAATACTTAACGATGTAATTTTTCACAATATCATTATTCACGTTACTGGTGGGCACTATTTTATTCACGAATAAGTTGAGAATTTCACTCTTTGTCAGTTTATTCACCTCCGCACAAATAACTTTTCAATAAAACGACCTTCTAACGGCAAACCTTGGTTCAACAAAAATTGCGAGCAAGTTGTCGACTTCAAAAATCTCGTCAACCGGCAGTGGCGCAAAAATCCCAGTGCCGAAAACTGAACTAGGATTGTTAATGCTCGCAACAGTTGCAAACTGAAGATAAATGAAAGCAAAGAACTTCACAATCACAGATTTAAGGATAAACTGCTTACCAATCTCAACGGGTCTAGATCCTTCTGGTCGGTAGCTGAAACTGTTAATCAGAACTTTTCAAAACCTATAATTCCAACACAAGCGGATGGTTCAATTGCAACAACAGCCATAGAAAAAGCAAATCTACTAGCTGAAAAATTTGCGTCCCACTCCACCTTCGGCTTTTTGGGAAAGGCACCACCCACTATTCTCACACTAGAATCCACAATGCCGGAAATTACTTTTCGGTTTCTGGATTTGAAATTTCTAGATATTCTTCCAATATAAATTTTTGGACACGAACCAACATTTTAGCCTGTAGAAACCTGATTTGTTGTCGACTTTGGATTCGATGTTTTTTATATGTCTGCCTAAGGTGTTATCAATCTTGTATTGTATACCATGTTGATGTTCTGTTTGGTTAATAGTCTAGTCATTTTTTTTCTGATGTCCATTCTGTATATGCCACTGTTTTTAAAGTGTAAGTATTGTTTTTGATGTGACAGTACACTCCTTTAACGGATTGTTTGAATAGTTGAATGTCGATGATCACATCCTAGAATTTGATAAAAGTATCCTGGTTTCCCGATAAATACACGTTAAATCCGTCAATAAAAACCTATGCAGATTTCATTATTGATAACTGTAATACACGAATGTATTAGAAATTGCTGATCCATTATCCGTCAAAATAAACGTTGATTTATGTTGGAAAAACAAATATTGTTGCAAAACAATGAATTTCCGCTCTACTATCATCATAAAATGAATGGCAGTTTGGCTTCCATGAAATATATTACATCAATTGTGCATATGCAATTTGATGAACCTTATTATTAGTTTCAATGCGATCATTGTTGCATCAAAAATATGATATAAACCGTAATGAAAGCCGGCACTGACCACAGAATAAAACGTTATTGAAGTCCAGTAGAAAATTTCGAATAATAAATATTACACTGAATTTTCATCTGTGTAGGTGTAGGTACACGTGTTTCTGAACATAAGAGAAATTGTCGACTCAGACAAATCAGTTGTAGCCGAACAAGTTATCAACAAAGAAGGCACGCACATTATCTCATTCTAAGATACAGTCATACTCGGTGAAACTCAAAAATTAAAGGCAATTGAAATTCAAAAACACAGGGATAATTTCAATAGACAATAAGAGGCAACGGACATCAATAAAGTCTGGCTACCTGTTCTTAAAGGTACACAAACAAGGTTAGGTAATCCATTTAGGTGAAACCAGGCCACGTCAATTACAAGCATCATAGTGAATGCGTTTGGAATAACGGGAGCACTAACTTGGGCACTGCTAGTACTACCACATCGCCTTTGATAATGTTTAACGCAGTAATAGACGAAACGTCAGGCATAAAAACTTGCAGACCACTGGCAAAAAACCCGGAAAATAGCTTTCGCACAGTTATCTACGGCCATGAAAGTTTACACTCCTTAAATTCTAATCATTTTCAAAAACTACTACAAACTCTGGGCTAAGAAATTAACAATGATTAAATAAACTGTAGCTTAACCACCCCAGTACTGATATGAAATGAAAAACCATTCAGCTTGATATCTCACACCGAGTTTTTCAGTTCAAGTAATTTGTAATTGATTCAACAATAATGGAGTTTACACAGATTCATGTAATTGAATTGTTTCATACCTTTAGAAAGCAGCGATTCGTCAATCAACATTATTTCTTTTTTCGAGGCTTCAGGGGACCAGCTAGGTTCAGTTGCTGATTCCATTCGATCAACATCAGCAAACACTTTTCTATGCATCACTGTTTCGGCTGATCTTGAGATGGCTGAAAATAGAAGGAAAATAATGAAAAATTGAGGTGGTCGTATTAGCAATTTCAACAATCAAGGGTCTTCATAATTTCAAAATTTTGCCAGATTTAGATTTTTACAACAAAATATATATTCATTCCGATCAATTATAGTTTATAACCAGGAATTGTAGGAAAAAACTCATACAGCTATTTCCATTGAATGCTATAATTACAAGTCTTCTATATTCTTGTTTTTTTCGGATTGATGACTGAGTCATCACCTAGGCATCCCCCTAAGATGATTGTGTATACTAACAATCGAAACGTCGTGAACTAACTTGGTTTGAAATCTCCTAACTTTTTAATTTTTTTATTTTTATCTTCATTTTCATTTCGTATTTCTTTATTTTTAATTTTTGTTCAATTGTTTTATTTTTACTTGCATTTTATTTCACTATTATTTCATTTCAGTTTTTTTGCTTCATATAATTGTTATTTACAGCTATTTATTTTTATTTCTTTTTTTTCCAGTTGATTCAGGGATTTCAAATCATTTTATATATTAGACAATGGAAGTCCAAACTAGTGAAAATCAATTTCCCGGTTAACACTTTCATCGATGTATTTTTTTATGTTTAAAATTTCAGCGAATAAGTCAAACCAATTACATATGAGTTCCTATAATGAAGCTTACGACTTGAGTGTGAACCTCAGAGAAAACTTTCATTCTTGAACTGTTTCATTCTACTCGATTTCATCAATTGCATTGAAAGTCTTTAGATTTTAAGTGAGCGATTGTTCTTTCACATTTGAAAATATTTGTTTTGTTACTTCATTAAAATATTCAAGTTCTCGGTAGCACTGAAATCAACGTGTGTGGGAATATTTCATTGAAATTATGAGTATTTTTCTATCTATCTATAATTCATCGTGGATCCACTACATATGCCATACCTTCGGCTGAGAAAAAGATTTTTTAATTATTTTTTGGGAAAGAAAGTTTTTGGCTTTCTACTACTCCATCTGATACAAAAAAATGGATGAGAGAATCTTCCAAAGAAAGGAAGGATTAATTAACAGAAATCAAAATCGGTCTGATCACTGTCGACGAAAAATATAGACATATTGGAAAAATAAATATTTCGAAGCAAAATTCAAAACATTGAATTGTCCCAAAGTTCCAACATAGTACAATCTGGTAAATTCCCGCGGGAAAAAAAATCTTCACAAACTTGGATATTGAACTATATTCGACAGTAAATGTTCTGCCATTTATATTTTTACTGAAATATTCATGAAAATGTGTATATTTTTGTCCTATAAATGGAAAACATACTGTTGTAAATCATGCCCGAAAGAAAATAACGCCGGCCGCCGCTGGTAGCCATAAACCAGGCGTACCACTCGAGTAGCAGGGAGAATAATTCTACCGACTTCGAAATTACGATTACGATAATTAAAGGCTAGCCACTTGGATATCGACACAGTGAAGTGAGCGTTACAGTGCGGTACGCGAAGTGATCTAGTAAGGCGATAGACATTCAAATAATAGTTGAAGTATAGTTGATGTGTTCATTGTATTTAAAGTGAAATAAAGTTAAGTTTGATTATTCAGTGTAGCCAATTATTGGTCAATCCACAGGGAAAAACGTAACATGACCAATGTTTCAATTTTCTCCCTAATTTCTGTGCTAAGAAGGCAACTTGCAAATTTTCATTTATATTGGCATGAAAAGTAGAAATATATAATCGTATTAACTTTCACTGATATACATTGTAATGTCTAAAGACAGAACTCTCAATGACATTTGATACTAAAAGAAATCAAATTATTCAATTTCGTTTGTTGAAAGTGCGATTTTTCGAAAGACTGAATAATGAACTACCAAGCACTTGTTATTTCGAAAAAATTGCCTCTCTAACAACGGAAGTTTTTATATTTCAAGGAACATTACCAGTGTAATGTTGACATCATTGGTTCAATTTCAGCAAAACTTTTCCAAGGAACAAACCGGTTGGGGGGACTAAGGAAAGTGAAATTATATGTGTTTATCTGTTGTGTTACCTTGTTCGTTTTTCTTGAAGTGGTCTTCTAATGGAGCACTTCTGCATCCGAAGAGAAGGGATTTCCTATTCTGTTTCGATTTATCTCTTCTTTTTCTTCCAGTTGATCCGGGGTCGTACATTTCAGGAGCTGGGGGGGCAAAAGCTCTCTGAACCACTCTGATTCCCATGCGTACAGTCGAACGTCTATGGAGTTTCTCATCTACTTTATCTGTGAACAAATTCCAAACATGAACTCGAAATTTTCCTAAAAATTTTGAAAACAGAGATATTGCTATCGTAAAATAGGTAATTTGAAGGGTGTGCGCTTAAATGATATGTTCCAAACAGACTGCAATATTTGTAATATTTTTCTGCAGACATATTTTTGTTTTATTTATTATGAACAATAGATATAGATACAATTAAATTTTGTTACAAATGTATTATATACATTAATTACATTATTATTATAATTATTATTTTCTTCACTGATACATTCGGGAGTGCGAGCCAGTATTATCAACCAATGACCACTCCCCACACCGTGGGGTAAGTGATCATTGGTTACGAGAATCATGTGCCCTGAGCAAGCGCAGTGAGCCAAGAATTACAGCATCTGCATCTGTGCGGCGAAGATTTCTGCCTTAGTGCGGCAAGCCAGTATGATTTTAAGATTCGAGAGTAGAGAGGACATCATTCCACCAAGGACTCCAATAATCAGAACAACCATCTTGACAGAGTGATCTGGATAGAGTCTGCGGAGTTCGAAGAGAAAATCTGTTATTTTATTTGTTTTTCCTCCTCTTTTCTAACGAAGTTTGTCTCGCCAGGAGCTGAAAACTCCATGACAAATATCGTTTTGCTCTGGTGGTCGAGAAGGACTACATCAGGCTTATTAGCTTGTATGAGCCTGAGGGTGGGGAACGAATAGTTCCAAGAAATTCAGCACTTCTCATTCCCCACAACGGATTCAATATCCCCCGGAGCGTAGGGCAACACCGGTGTCTCGTCAATACCGTAAGAGTGCCGTAGATGGTAATATAGCATTCTTAGGGCCGCGTTATGTCGATGGATATAGGCCGAGACCTTATATGCTGGACATGCTGATCGCAAGTGCATTAGGGTCTCGGGCGCCTCCTCGACAGTTCCGATGACCAGATCTATCGAAGTTTGTGCTGATACTTGCCGCGGAGAGAGTTTTTCACTGCTGTTACTTCTTGTGAGTGGCGTTCTTCCACCCCGAGGTAAGTATACGTCTCTCCGGTATCCAGATGGTGTAGGATGCTTCCATCTACGAGCTGCACATCCTCTCCGTAGTCCCCGCATCGTCATCTTCTGAGATAGATCATTGCACATTTGTCTATCCCGAATTTCAAACCGATAGCATGCGAGCACTCTTCCACCACCCTCAAGGACTGATGGAGATCCTTCTCTCCAGAGGCGTAAAGTTAAAGATCATCCATATAAAACAGATGGGTGACCGTGTGCCTCCGGTTTCCGGAGGTGCCACAGTTATACTCTCGAGTATTTCTGAGCGCAACGGATAATGGAAATAGTGAGATGAGATAAGAGAACTGAAATACACCCCTTCTGAAAATGACCCACCCTGTTTGGACTCTTGCTTGACCAGATGTTATGGTGAAGCGAGTTCGCCAAAGTGGTATCAGTTGTTCAATGCATCTCACTATGTTGTCGGGTACCGCAAGGCATCTGAGCAAATGCAAGATGAGCTCATGCGAAATTGTATTGAATGCCTTACGGTAATCGATCCAGGCCATAGAGAGGTCACGCTCATATTATATCGAGTCTTGCGTTACACATCTATCGATGAGCAGGTTCTCTTTACATCCAGCGACTCCTCTCTTTGACCCTCTCTGCTCATATATCCGTTTGAACACTCGGTCAATTGCGGTGAGTATTCGTGTGTAAAGATGCTTGTAAACAACTTATAGCACGAATTCAAGCATGTTATCGGTTTGTAATTCTTAGGAATCGACAAATCTCCGCTTTTGGGGATAAGAACGGTCCGCCCCTCGACAAACCAATCTGGAATCGGCTGCTCTCCGTCCAGGTGGGTATTTGGTAGTTTTTTCCACCAATGAGTGTTCAGCGCATCTGGGCCTGGAGCAGCAAAGTTCTTGGAACCAACAAGGGCCCTTCTAACGTCATCCGGGGTTATCGGGTTGCGCAGTTCCTTGAGCTCAGGCTGTCGAAGCTCTCTGTTGAAAGCTTCGAACTGCGCTAAGGCTGGAGTGTCTAAGTTGAGTGGCTGCGGGTGTTCATAGATATCCTTCCAAAAGGATTCCACTTGATTAGCGGTCGGCAGATTATCCACAACACGTGGAGGCTCTTGGTAGTTGCGCGAGAAGGTTTCTCGCGGAACCTAGGGTTTTCTGCTATACTTCTCGCTCGCCTCACTATTGAGTTCTTAGCAGCCACTAGCATTCGTATCCTATCAAGGCAGTGCTATTTGGTGGTCAGCAGCACACCTTGACTTGAAGTGTGATGGATACGTCGTAGATTGGCGGCTATTCGCCGCACTGCGGGCGTGAAAGGCCTATTGGCCGCCCTGTAATCCATCACACATTGGATACGAGACGCGTGTTGTCTTGCCGACGTGATCTTATCCTCCATCTTGTGTATACGCCGATCAATTTTCCGAACCGCAAGGCCGGGATTTCGTCCTTCCGATTCGGAAAGCGATTGGACGACGTTATACATGGCGGTGTTGATTTGCCAGATGTCAGCTTCTTCTGTTAAAATACTATGAACCTCCGCATCCAAACAAGCCAGTTCTTGTGGCTTCAGGGGCCTAATCCTGTGGAGCGCCCTGCGTGTTCTGATTGACTCCATTGGTGGCATAATGCGAGTCTCCTCTCCAGCCGTGCATGCTCTGTGCTTCACACCACAGAGCATGCAATCTCGCCATGTACCCTCTTCGCGCGGGCTCACTACTCTCGTAGCAATGCATAAGGCTATCTCTCAGCTCATGCGTCCACTCAAAGCGTCCGTTGTCGTTGTTAGGGTTGTCATCGGTAGGCAAATCATCGGCAAATCACCACCTTGCCTCTGACCCCTCCGAGCGGGTCAATTATTGGGAACCAAGTGTTGGGTCCACCGGGTGGTTAGCCCTGTGGTTATTATCATTATCATTATTTATGAACATTAATATGAAAAGTACAATTAGAACAACCGCTGATAATAATACCTTGCGATGTTGACGAGCTTTGTCATATATTTGAACTATCTGAGTTGACAATTTCATGGGCATTAATATTCAATTCTTAAAGTACAGTGGACGATGCTGTCACGTTGGAGCTAGCTGTTGGGATTATTCTTTTTTCAGCAATAGCATTTTATAAGAAATAGATTGATCGATGTAACCCTCAGCTATGTTGTAGACTTCCATTCTCCATGCTTTCCAATATCCGTTATATTTGCTCCTGATTCTGCTAGCAAAGAAGCAAAAGACCTTCTGTAACAGTGACCTGTATATTCCTTTGGTTCCGGGAGGTTTAGAAAGTCAGCAATGGTAGACGGCATTTTCTTAAACGTGTTTATACCAACTGGGTTGGCACTGCATTTATATTTTTTCAGAAAAAAACATTGATGATTGATAACAGAATTGCGTAATGCTACGTATTCATTAAAATAGTCAATGTTTTTCCAACCATGCAAAAAGAACGACCTATTTTCGTTTTTGTATCGGGAATTTGAACAATCAATGATTTATCCATTAATTTAATGTCTTCTATTGATAAATGGCACAGCTCTTCACGCCGGCAGGTTCCATATATTCAGAAAATAGTAGCAACTATTTTCATCAAATATTTTTCATCTGGCGCCTCATTCATAAACCTCCGGACTTATTCATATGTAAGAGTTTTTGATTTTTTGGGCCTATAACCTTCATTTTTCTGCTTTAAGAATGCTATTACCTTGAAATATTTGTTTGTATTAACACCATTTTTAACGAGCGCACCCGACTTTATCATTGAAAACTTTTTCCACAAAGTTGACGAGTTCCATATTTTTGATTTCACTTCTAGAAGACAGTTTCGCTGAAATTTCTTTCGACGTTTTGAAGTCTACACCAGCTAAGAAAAATAGAATATGCGATGTCATGCTGCTGAGCCGATTTTTTTATAACAATTCAATTGAAGCTTTTTTTGCAGCCTCTTCAATATCGTCAGGAACACAATTCCTCACTATTGTTCTTCATTATGCAAAACATTAAACACTAACAAGAACTTTCAATGTGACTTTCAATAAAACATGTTGGCTGTAAACAGTACTGTTTGTTGGTAACCATGTGATTCGGCGTCACCTGACACGGCCACTTCACAGCAAATGCGATAACATGAAAGTAGTTAACTAACAAGAGATGTCAAAATGTGTTTTTATAGAAATATCAAATTTAATAATATTATTATGAAAATAGGTCAGTTGTACGAAAAACTTTGGATTATATTTGTGTTAAAAGTAAGTTTAATTTTGTTCGTGAAATTGCTCAACTCGCTACTCTCATTTCGCAAACTTTTTCACTCGCAAAATAAAACCTTACTTCTAATACTCATATCATAAATAGCTTTTACGCCTTGAAAAGTACGTACAAGATGTGATGGAAATTTTGAGTAGAGTCGACAACCTCATGTTCCCTCAGGATAAATGTGCGTAAACAATGTATTGGAATATATTGCCACACACATGTCATTTAACTCACGTCACCACTCCTCACTCATACATTTACGTCACACACTACCTTGCTATGTGAACAATCGATGGACATTTTTGAAAAATGAACCCCCTATTGTGCCGTGATACTACGACTTGTCTACTACGATACAAACGCTAAACCAACACCACAGACCTTCATATCAGACAGATGCGAAAAATTCTTGTGTTTTCGATAATGGGGAAAGTATGTACTTGAAATACATCTATTGAAAAAACTTTTCTCACACCATAAGAGAAGAAACTGTCCCTTGAGTCGTGTTTAGCTAACTACATTAGCATCATCAGGCGATGCAAGTTAGCATCATCTTCCAATGATGCTATTTTGGTTGGGAAAACACGCGTTGAGGGAGTATTTTCATTCTGATTCTTGAAAAAGTGTTCAATTGATTAGTTTTTAAGCCCTACGTGTTTATTTGTTTATTTTCTAATACTATTATACAAATGAAATTTATCAAATTAAAAAATACTCATTTCTTTTAGCTCACAGAAAATGGTCTCGAAAAACATTTGTTGAATATTTGAAACAAAAATAATGTATACATAAAATCACAAAATGAATATCTTTCAGGTGATGATCATAAACACAAAATACATAAGATGATTTATAAGAACTGATGTCTTCCATATGGCCTTAAAATATCGTTATTTTGTATTAATAAAAACTTTGAATGTTGTAATGATACGGAAATGAAATATTCTGTTCTAATATTTTAAATACATCACAGAAATGTATATTTTTCATCGACTGAACAGCTCTAAAAATACCATATTATATTTGATATAGTTATAATGAGTAGTTATGAGTCAATTATTTCAATCTTGAAAAAATTGTATGCATGACATCTCGAAACTAACGTCTTTCAGATGGCGGTCATGATATACATAATATATATGTTTCATAATGAATTCTTGTAATGAAGAAAAAATAAATTAAACTCTCTATGTTTTTCACCACTTTTATTTGTAACTAACGTTACAGTTTCGTCCTATACGGACATTTTCAAATTTGTTGTATGTTTGAAAATATCCGTATAGGACGAAACTGCAGTAACTGTAACGTTAGTTACAAATGAAAGAGGTAAAAACATAGATTTCCTACCAGGTAGTAACAGCTACATCCATCAATTTAACGAATTCTTATATTCCTGAAATTATGTCTTCAGGATCGACTGAAAATAACCTATTATTGGATCACTAAATAACTTCCTTCAACAAATATTCATTTATTTCCAGTTTGTTGTAATTTCGTGATGGTAAAAAATATCTGATATCATATTAGATACTTACATATTTTAAAAAAATAAAAAACATTGTAACAACCAAATTCCGAAACAACAACCAACACAAAACAATATGAAACAAAGGAAAAAACAGGACACAAAAAATACAGATAAGATTTGTTTGTTTGTGTGTGTGTGAAAATGGTGAAGGCTAAAATCCATCGATCAATAATTATAGGTACTGGTTTGTGAAAACCGATAATAAAATATTTTTTCAAGTTGAACATTTCATTGATGTGTTCAAAATATTAGAATGAAAAAAATTGCTCGCAGTCATGAAATCTCATAATTTACTGAATAATGGCTTCACGTAAATGTTTGAACATAAAATAAACTTCAATATGTATATCGATTGAGGTATCAATCAACAATGATTGTCCTAATTGCATCAATCGAAGTTTATCGAAACGCATACATGTTGTCAGATGTCAACTTGAGTGGAAAGTTTGCTAGCCACTCAGTGCCCTAATGTATATTGATTGCTGTTCAAATAACAAACGGAAAGGATATTATGTTTATATGCATGATTCAAATTATATTCATGAAGCAGCTCAAAACTATTTCAACGGATCCCTTTATATGCGATGACAGGACTATCACGTGAGTCAGAGAAATTTCACAAGTTCTATCCGTACAAAACTCAAATCCTTCAAGAACTAGACGATGATGATCAAGATCACGAACTGAGTTTTTTGAAATCATAACTGGAATACTTCGCGCTGGAGCTAAACAATTGAAAAATATCTGTTTCAGAGATGAATGTACTTTTATACTGAATGCGTATATTGCGTTGATTGCGTTAGTCATGAAAAACTTCTGGAGAAATTTGAATAGTTCATAAGAGGAATTTCTAATAGCATAATCGAATCATATTTGGCTAACAGATCACAGAGATTTTATCATCACAATATCATGAGTCAAGAACGTATTATCAAAAGGGGTGTCTCATTAGGATCCATACTTGGACCCTTTCCTTTTTCTGGTTCATGCTTATGATTTACCCCACCATAAGCATCTTGAACTCGAATTATTGACAGGGTTATATGCTGTTGACTATGTCACGACATCAAAGTGTGTTCAATTTTTAGCAATTTATCTTGACGGATCTCTTACCTGAATCACTCACATCAGTCATTTTTGCATCAGATGTGTTCACATCGAATGAATGCATGAATGAACAAGGGATGATTGTTTCGTGGTGCATTTCATTAGTTCGGACTACAATTGTCTAATACATTACTTAATATAATTGTTACTTTTCGGCTAATTTCAAATCTATTGATATCATATTAGACATTGGAATTCCGAACTAATGAAATGCAAAAGATGATTGGTTAGTCATCAATAGGATATTTCATAATAAGTATTGTTTTTGTTGAATAAGCTCGATGTATGGCATTATTTTTGAGTAGTTCAAAAATGTATTCCTTCAAGTGCTAGAGTCACCAATGGGTACCAGTGGTACCGTACCACTAACATCAAAATTTTCAACAACATGGAAGTTACTATCTAGAGATGATTGTACAATCAAATGATGCATATCACTTTCTACTTACTCATATCAATATTATTTTCGGCAACTTTTTTGCAATGCAGAGAAGACTAATTAACGTCTTTTAGTTTTTGTTATTTACTAAAATTTATCTTCAGTTACAATTAGAATAATGTATTCATCAAAAATTGTACGTTGATGCCAGATGTTATTCTAATAAATATACGAAGCGTTTTTCCACGAAAGGCATGCAAAACTGAATCTTTCAATGAAAACATATATATCTATATATATATA